CGCTCTTCCGATCTCCCCAAAACCCCAAAACCCCTTATTGAAATATCATTGAAATAAAAGAAAATAAAGATAATAAATAATCACTAAGATTTAAATAAGTAAAGTAAATTAAAATTACAAGGTTTATAATTTCTGCTAGTTAAAGTATAGTAGTATGTATAGAATTCATAGTAGAGTGAGTACTGAAAAAATAGATTACTTTTGTAGTAAGCTTCATTGACAAACAACTGAAATTAATTTCTTGAAAGGTAAGCAGATCATGAAATTCTCAGTCCTCATTGGAAACCCGATCATTGAGGTGAAATCAGGCATCTTGTCTCTCACCTCTTAGTCTGCGAGCTAGCTGCATATCCTTGGGCATAACCGTAACCCTGTTAGCATGGATAGCGCATTGATGGCAGTCCTCAAATAGCCCGACTAGGAAGCATTCAGCTGCTTCCTAGAGTGCCAGTAGGCCTTGAATACTGAATCTGATCTCTGGATTGCTACTACGAGCGATTTCCCTGACTAATCTCTGGAAAGGGAGTTTCTTGACCAGCAAATCAGTACTCGACTGAAGTTTCTTAATCTGCTTAAGGGCAAGTTATCCAGGCTTGAATCTCTTCATCTTCTTCTTGGATTAGTTAGCTGGAGCCACAGTGGTGACTGGAAGTTTAGCCATTTTCCTGGCTGCTTGAGCTGGCATCTCAACATTAGAAATTTTCCCGAAGCTCATGACATCTGTGGTAGAATTGACAGCCTCTTGACTAGTGACTTGCATTCTGTTCAGATGCTTGCCCTTGCCCTTACCTTTTCCTTTTCCTTTCAGTATAGAGTAGTTGGGTGATGCTGTACTCTTAGTTCTCATTGTCAAACAATTAATTATAATTTTGACTTTTAAACTTCCTTTTATACTGATAATTTGATTGAGTTTAATTTAGTTAATATAAATTTCAGTGAGTTAGATTTGATTGGTTATTATGCTTTAATTATGATTGATTATGATATTTCAACACTCTGGGGTTTTGGGGTTTTGGGGTTTTGGGGTTTTGGGGTTTTGGGGG